GATAAAAACTTAAGGTTTAGATGGATCTTTGAATGAGAAAGTTGTTTTGGTAGGTACCCAAAATTAATTTGGGGTTTTAGGATTCTTAAATCCAAAAATCGATTTGGGGAAGAAGAAGATACTGTAGCAAACAGTAACTTTCGGTTGTCGGATTTACATCGTTAATGTCGAGGTAGTAAAATCAACTCATTTTAAAAGTTCGAGTATATAAAGAACAATCTTAAATAATTGGTGTATTTATCGGATAACCAAAAAAGTTTGGATATTTTTTTAACAAATGAAATTAAATTCGAGTATTTTTCGGTAATTTTCCCAACATATCGTATGGAAGTTACGTTCACCGATTTAGATTTATGAGCCGTGTTAAGTAATATATGTTGTTGACTTTAACAAAAAAAAATATATGTTGTTGACAAAAAAAAAAAAAATTCTAGGGAACAAAATTTATTTTGCATGTTCAGATATTCTACTCTGTTACGTTTTTGATTGAAGAGAAGCCTATAAGAAAGCTAAGAAGTTTATAAACACAATAGAAAAAAATGCAAGTAAGAAAATAAATTGTTTAAACATCTCCAACTCGTTCCATTTTCCACTCCAAAACATTCTTTGGAATAAGAAAAAATATACAAAACATTGTTTTGTGAAATGGGAAATTGGGTTGAATAATCCAAAAAAAACTATAATAAAAAAACTAACCAATTAACCTAAATCTAATGGACACAATTAGACCATATAAATTAATTTTTTGTTAGATCTCTAATTATTAATTTTTTTTGTTAGTGAACAAATTAATCCTTGTGAAATTGTCCTTTACAAATTAAAAAGAAAAAAAAAACCAGGAGAGTAAATATTGTAGTGTCAAGTGAGTATTGTAACGCTTAATTATGAACGAAAAGATAAAATTAAAAATATTAATAAGTTTTTAGACTTTATGGAAAAATATTTAGGGATTTCGTCGTATTCAACAGCAGCCACACGGAAAGAACAGAGAAAAGTCTCTGTTTTGCGGGGTTGACTTTTTTGATTAACCAGAGACAGAAGAATAACACATAAAGAACTGCTTTTTTTTCAGACAATTTTGAGCAACTTACGGAGAAAATCTATGGCAACATCGAAGCTCCAAGCACTCTGGAATCATCCAGCAGGACCTAAGACAAGTGAGTTTGTTCTGTTTCGATTTTTGCTCTGTTAGACATGATCATCGAGTTTTGATTCTTGTTCAGTACATACATCTTAAATCGTCTCTCATGTTTTTTTTTTTGGGGGCGGTTGATTTTGCCTTATAACCAGTTTGTGAAATGATGTCTCTCTGCATCAGTTAAAATTTGAATCCAAAGATGTGTGTTACTACGAATTTTGACCAATATGTTTGTTTGGTATACCCTTTTCTCAGAAATAGGTTTGATATCAACTCTGAGATTTGAGCTCATGTTTTGCCCCTAAACAGTTTCATAATTGTAATCAAGCAAAGTGTGTTATTTGGTAGTTTTGATCGAAGTTGCTATACAGAAACTTGAATTGTGTAAACTCATTTTTTTGTTTGTAAATTTGCAGTTCATTTCTGGGCGCCGACGTTTAAATGGGGTATAAGCATTGCTAACATTGCAGACTTTCAGAAACCTCCAGAGACACTTTCGTATCCTCAACAAATCGGTATGCTCTTACACATTCTTCATGCTCTTGTAATAATAATCTCTCTTGATCATCATCTCTTGTGTACACTTTAGATTTCACAGCTCTGTTTGTGTCGCTATGCCTCGGTTCTTTTTACAGTTTTCTTTAATGTTTACTACCTTCTCAACAGTTTACTTCTATGTTTATAATCTCGCTTTTCGTTGTGTCGCCATGCCTCGGTCTTCTTACAGTTTTTATGTGCTATGTATTGTATCAGTGATCACAGCAACTGGACTTATATGGTCGCGTTACAGCACTGTAATCAGTCCGGTATGTTGGTTTAATATTCCTGATGATTATTTCAATTTGTGACTGAGACTAAGTTTTCTCTTTTATGGCAAATCTTGTTGATATGATTTATATATTTTCATTTGCTTTGCTCTTGTACTAATTTGCTAGTGGATTTACTGATTTTGTTCTGGTTTTTGTTTACAGAAAAACTGGAACCTCTTTAGTGTTAGTCTTGCTATGGCAGGGACAGGCATATACCAACTTACTCGTAAAGTCAAGTAAGATTTAGAGAACATTTAGTATCTTCTTTACAATTACATGAGTTATGTGTTAAAGTGATTTGTTTTTTTTTTTTTTAATTGTCAATGGACCAAAAAAGAACACTTCTTTCTTCTAATGTATACAAACTAAACTATACTTCTCGAGTAACCATTGATTGTTCGTCAATGATGTATGTTTATCACTCTTTAGACATTGATATGCTTATGTTTCTTGGTTTACAGGCACGACTATGCGACTGAAGCGGAACTCATTGTTGCAAAAGAATGATGAAAATGAAGCCTTTCGGAGAAAATAATTCTCATAATGCTTTGTAGTTGGTCATAATCTTCCTTGTGTACTTCCAAATCCAGTCCAAAATATTATCATGCGAAGGTTTGATTCTCTTTGAATACCCAAATCTGTTGGAGGTATTTGATTGTGCTTTGAATAAACAAAAATATTCTTACTTTTTATAAATCAAACACCATTTACAGTTTGTAAGTATTTGTATTTATACATGTATATAATTTAGGGTAATTGGCATTAATAACCATAAAAAAAAATTATATCTAAAATCCTAACTAAATATCATAAATCTAATGGTTATTATTTGGCCACATATAGCAATTTTGGTTACTTAGTTGATTATTAGTTTTTTTTTTGTTATTGAGCAAATTGACCCTATAATTTAAGTGCAACAACAAATTATTACAAAATGAATGTTGGGATATATAGCTTGTTTGTAGTATTTGTGATTTGTCTTAGTTTTGTTCTAGATCGACATATTTTCGATCTGTATCTGTTTTAGAATTGGCCGAACAACTTATATCCATTATACTTTAGATATATTATGAGATATCTGATTTGCTCTGTAAAAATTATTTTTTTAAAAAAACTTAAAAAGCTGTTTAAAATTAGGGGTGGGCATAATTCAT